ATTTGCATATTTTTGAAGCAAAACGATAACTTTGGGACATAGTGAGTAACATACTACTTCCATCTTCGTGTATTAATCTAGTTTGTCTTTTTGAGTTAAATTAGATGAATTTTGGACTTCAACGTATGTCACTGACTTGAATTGAAACATTTATGATACATATATATATTTATGAAACATTTTCCACATGGGATATATATATATATATATATATATATATATATATATATATATATATATATATATATATATATATATATAGTGGTATCTTATCAGTTATCACTCATCTCTGCTGCGCCATCAATGGAGGGGGGCGACAGTGCAGAGGTTCCATTATTACTGAGTTCCACACCCACCGGAAAAGAAAACAACGTCACATCCTTCTCCGGCGGCGACATCGAGATCATCAGTGGAGTCGGGGATTTCTCCCGGGAGTTCTGTGCGGAGTCAAAGAAGCTATGGAACCTCTCCGCCCCAGCCATTTTCACGTCCGTCTGCCAATACTCCATCGGAGCCATCACTCAGGTCTTCGCCGGCCATGTCGGAACCGTTGAACTTGCTGCCGTCTCCGTCGAAAACTCCGTCATCGCCGGATTCGCTTTCGGCGTCATGGTATGTTAGCTTACCGGCCGGCCGTTATGTTATAACCTTTGACGGCAAGATTTTTCTGCTTTATCATCTCACAGCCAGATTTTTTTCTATACTTTCTTGTTCACATCATAAAAGTATTTCCCTTTTATCAGAAAAAATAATAATCGAGTTTTTTTTAGTCATGAGTACTCCGCATTAAAAAAATATTACTCTCTCTCACGATGTATTTCTCTAATGTATCTTTTTTAAATCATACTAAATGAATTTTAATTATAGTTACTATCAATTTTATCAATCTTAATATCATGTAATCAATTTTTTAAAAAGTACATATAGTAAAATTATTTCTATACTAATATAAATTAATTATATTATTATTTTCATTTAATAGTGGTCTAAAATTCGTCCGGTTTAAAAAAGAAGTAAACGAGTTGAAACTGAACAAATTAAATAAAATGCCCAGAGTAATAGTATGAAAAGATACTATATACCATCAATTCATTCTCCAAGGTTAATGAGGAAATTCACCCAGATTAGAGTCTTAGCGAAAACAAAGTATCAACTCTTTAATTTGTGTGCCATTAGATGGAGAATAGTTATGTTTGTAATAAAATGTGAATTGACATTAAAGTCAAAAGTAGAGTGCGTGTAATGTGGGGTTTCGTAAGAGAAATATACTCCCTCGGTCCGGAAATGTTCTTTCCTTGTTGACTTGGCACACTTATTAAGGAATAGTAAAAACATGCAAAATTTTCAAAAATGCACTTACCATAAACTTTTAAATCTCCTTTTATTATTAAAAAAGTATTAAAAAAGTAGATTTGTGATAAAATAGAAGGGTATAATTGATATTTAGCCTTAAAAAGCATACTAAAAAAGGAAATGAGAAGAATATTTCCGGACGGACTAAAAAGGAAAATGGAAAGAATATTTACGGACGGAGGGAGTATTAATTTGACCCAAAAATTTGAGCCCCATCTTAATTAATTACTCTACATTCTAAGTCTTACTGACATTCACAAATATCGGATATTGAAATAAGAGGAGAAAACGATTAATGCTAAAGATACTAATAAATAGTTTACAAAATTCATAAATTTGTCTTTTCAACATTTACTAGAAATAAGATTCATTCAAATAATAATATATATTTTTATTTAAAGTCCTCAAAAAGTAAACTTGTGAAGTTTATAAATTACGGAGTATTTATTTGTGACTTAAGCATTTTTGGGAGAAAAACGCAATAGAGGAGAGAAAAGTGTGAATTGCACTTATTTACTCTTGTTCCTTCAATTATTACTCTTACTTTTCTAAAAGTAAATATAAATATGTCATTTTACACTAGAATATTTTCTTTTTTGTTACTTTTCTCTTTATTTTGTGTCCATTAAAAGAATAATTATTTTTCTTTCTATTTTCTTTTCATTTTTTCCTTATCTTCATTTTCTTTCTCCTCATTTTTTTTTCACTGTGGTTTCTTTTCTCATTAAAACAAAGGGTAAATTCTAAAGTCTTGGTTTTTTCACTTTGGTTTTCACTTTGTGAATATTTATGTTTTTATTTTTCTAATTACTACTACTACCTACTCCCTCCATCTTATTATAAACTTTTTTCTTTACATTTTCACGGTCTACAATGCACTTAATTGACTATTACTCCTTCCGTCCATTAAAAAAGTTCCCATTTTGACTTTTTGAGAATTTAAGAGAAGTGTATTTTGATGTTGACTTTCCCAAAATACCCTATGATGTGATGGATAAAGTAGGATGGAATGGATAGATTAATAGAGAAAAATGTGATGTGATAGGTATGTTAAAAATTAGTAGGGGTAAAGGTAACTTTTTAAAAGGAAAATGGAAGTTTTTTTTGGGACGGATGAAAAAAGGAGAATTTTTTTGCGGAACGGAGAGAGTAGTATTTAATTTCTACGTGTTTATATATATATATATATATATATATATATATATATATATATATATATATATATAATTAAAATTTGACTGAAAATTATAAAAAAATAAATTGAATACCAATAAGTTTATTATGAAACATAACTTTGATCACAAATTCGTTTGACATTTATTTGACCCATTATTATTATTTGGTTTTGATGTGGTGAACTAAAATGATCAGTTAGGCATGGGAAGTGCACTAGAGACGCTATGTGGGCAAGCATTTGGGGCAAAACAGGTACACATGTTGGGAGTCTACATGCAAAGGTCATGGATCATCCTCAACGCCACCGCCCTAATCCTGCTCCCCCTCTACATCTTCGCCGCGCCGGCGCTGAGGTCCATCGGACAGACGCCGGAGATATCCAAGTCGGCCGGCGTCTTCGCCATCTGGATGATCCCCCAGCTCTTCGCGTACGCGATGAACTTCCCCATCCAGAAGTTCTTGCAGGCGCAGAGCAAGATCTTCGGGATGGCGGCGGTCTCCGCCGCGGCCGTCGCCGGCCACACCCTCCTCAGCTGGCTCCTCATGCTGAGGCTGGGGTGGGGCATGGCCGGCGGCGCGGCGGTGCTCAACCTGTCGTGGTGGTTCATCGTGGCGGCGCAACTTGTGTACATCTTTAGTGGGAGTGGCGGGGAAGCTTGGGATGGATTCTCCGTTATGGCTTTTCAGAATTTGTGGGGCTTTGTTAGGCTGTCTCTTGCATCCGCAGTTATGCTTTGGTCGGTACTTAACTACACACTCCCTCCCTCCCTAAACACAACAATTACAAGAGTTTGAAAAATTGTACTCCCTCCGTCCCAAAAAGAATAGGACGGTTTGACTTTTTGAGAAAATTAAGGGAGGGATATTTTGGTATTAACTTTCCAAAAATGCCCTTGATGTGATAGGTAAAAGTAGGATATGATGGGTAGATTATTAGGAAAAAGGTATGATGTGATAGATAGAGTATGAAAAAGTAAGGGGTAAAAGTGGTTTTTTAATAGAAATGTAACGGACTTTACGGGACGCAGTTTTTTCTAAACGTAACAAACTTTTTGGGACGGAGGGAGTATTTAATTATAATATAAATTAAGTAAAATTAGATTTATTTTAAAGAGTGCTTATTTGGTGCACCTAAGTCTCACAAAAATTTGTGGACCTTCTCGCATAAAAAATAATTTTTTATTTTTATTTTTCAAAAATAAAAATGTTTATCTCAACATTAAGGAAATGCTTATTAGTTTCATCTGTAGGTACACTGTAGACCTTCGGTCTATGGTAGAATTTGCCTATTTTAAAATACTGTCTTCGTTTCTTAAAACACTTTCTCTTTAATTTTTTTCTTTTCCCAAAACATTTCTATTTTCTATTTTTATTAAATACTTACTTTTATTCTGATTTTTTCTTACCCTTTTTATCACATCATACTTTTTCACTTGTATCTACTCATTACACCTTATTTTTACACATCACATCAAGAGTAAAATTGGAAAGTCAACCACAAATATACACTCTTTATTTCTCTCATTAGTCAAAATAAGAACCGTTTTAATATCAATTTTATATAATACTCCCTCCGTCCCCAAATAAATTTCCTCTTTCGTTTTTTCTTTGTCCCCAAAAAAACTTCTCTTTTTTTATTAAAAAACCACTTTTACCCCTTACTTTTTCATACCCTACCTATCACATCATACCTTTTTACTAATAATCAATCCATCACATCTTACTTTTATCCATCACATCAAGGGTATTTTTGGAAAGTCAACACCAAAATATCTCTCTCTTAATTTCCCAAAAAGTCAATAAGGAAAGTTTATTTGGGGACGGATGGAGTATTTGATTATTTCAAATTATATTTAATTCGTGATAAAAAAATGTCATACTTCGATTAAAAAAATCAAATTGTAGTAATCTTTTAAGAACGAAGAAATATATACTTTGACCCTCTTCTTTTTTTAAAAGAAAATTGACTTGTCAAAGCTTAGGAACACAGAAATCAAATTATATTGGAGTGCGTGATTGGTTACGCCCTCATATTAAATGGAGTAATTAGGTTAGGTGAAATAATAATCTAAAGTAGGATATTAAATGAGATGGTAATGATTACTAGATTAAGAACAAAAAACTCATCTGGTGTTAAAGACATGGAAACAACATTTTTTTTGTTAGAAGTTAGAGCTGGGGTTTTAAAAGAAACTTTAATAGTATTAGGTTATTTATAAAAATTGTAAAGTTAATCACTATTGAATTGTTCCATAATCTTCTTGGTAAAAATATTGGATATAACCCTCTAATATTATTGCCAAACGGATCTATATAATGTGTGCAGCTTAGAGATGTGGTATTATATGGCTCTTACTCTCTTCGCCGGATACCTCAAAGATGCTGAAGTCGCAGTTGATGCCATTTCTATTTGGTTAGTACCTTTCATTTTTTTAAAATTATGTTTTTTATATTAAAACTTTATCCTAAATAATTATCACTCATTCACTCATTTCATTTTAAGAGTAGCAATATACTCCCTCCGTCCCAGTGTATTTGTCTAGTTTGACTTTTTTCAGTCAAGCTGGATAAATTAAGAGCTTCAATTAAATAAAAATCGTAATGTCGTATTTTAACATAAAAATGACTTTATTGGATTTATTGTATTAAGAACTTTCAAAATTATATTTCATTATGCTTCTATACAATATAAATTGAAAGTAATTATAGTTTAAAGTTTGTTCAGTTTGACTTAAAGTCAAACTGAACAAATAAACAGGCACGGAGGTACTATATAGTAAGTACAATGTTTCTCTTCATTTTAAAAGGCATTCTAACCGGTCAAAGTTGACAATAGTTTAGATTATGTGCATTGAAATTTAATTTATTCAATTGATTTGAATTCAAATAAAGATAATCAAAATTAAAAATTAGTCATTCCATCACTAACCCATCAAAGAATTCCACTACGAAAGCGGTTCGATAATTTATTTAGTGTCAAACTTGTAGTTGAAATTGATGCAGAATCAAATAAAAATATGGGCCACATTTTTTTTAAGAACGATGATTTTTAGTTAAAAAACACAAATAAACATCAAGTTAATTATTCTTTATAAAACCAAACAATATAATTGTCTGTTTTTATTACTCCCTCCGTCCAAAAAAAGAACTTCCCACTTTCCTTATTTGGTTGTCCACAAAAAAAACTTCCCAATTCCTTTTTGGTAAAGAATTTATGTTAAAAAGACATTACTACCCTTATCATCCTAAGCAATTAACCCTTCTACCAACCTCCCTCTCGCCACTCATATTTCTCTCTCGTCCTCTTCCACCTCTCTTTCTCTTTAGTTTCTTCATCTGCATCTCTCTCTCTCTCAACCCTCTCATATTTTCTTTATTCCTCTCTTTATTTATTTGGTAATTCCATCCAGTTTGGGTCGCTGCTCAGGCGAGCTGGCTTCCTCCCCATTAGATCTAAATATATCTCTAAATAGATCGTGACATCCTCTTTGTTTCCGATTCGTGTTTTCATTTTTTTAGATCTACTTTTTCAATTTTTTGGACGAAGGGGGAGATGGAGTGTGACCATTGGGTTGTGTTGACGGAAGATCGGAGGAGTTGGGAGGCTGACTGGGTGAAGGAGAATGAAGGGGTATTTTGGGAAAGTCAAACACATTTTTACTCTACCTTAATTTGCGTGCCGGGTCAAACCGGGAAGTTCTTTTTTTGGACGGAGGGAGTATTATTTACGAGTACTTTATTCATTTGTAATTAATGATGAATTAGTACCCAAACTAGTACACCCCACATGGTGACTGCGATCTAGAAATGTGATCCCCAATAATTTCTGATTCAAATATTCAATGAATATGGGTGAGACTTGAGACGTGCAATAAATAAGGGTTAATTATTTACGGAGTACATTTTTTTTCAATTCATTTATTCAATGATTGAAAGTTATTACGGAGCTTAATTAATTAGCATACTGTTATTATAGTGTTATATTTATTATTTACTCCGTACATAATTATACAATACTCGTGATATCTTTATCTTATTTATTTTAATATTTTGTTACAATAGAATACTCCATGGTTAATTCGTCTCTTTTTATATATAAATTTTGATATTAAATTTTATTAATTTCAGCATGAATATCTTAGGGTGGACCATCATGGTGGGTTTTGGATTCAATGCAGCAATAAGGTTTGTAACTACGCCGCTAATTATTCTTACCTAAATATCTAAATTTCAAATGAAAATGTTAGAGTCACAAACATATAGTTCACAAATTTCACAAACTTGCCTTTTGTGGATTTTAAAATGAAATATTTTTTATTATTTGAGTGCATCTTATTTCTAGCAAAGTGTTAAAAAGGTAAGTTTGTGAATTTTGTGAACTGTTTGTTTGTGACTCTAGCATTACTCAATTTCAAATGTTTTCGCACTCCGGTAACTTTGTCTATTCGTTTAGTTTGATTTTATTCAATTATATCCAATTTTTTATCATTAACTAAATAAAAATTACAATACATATTAATTTAAAAATGATTTAGTTAAATTAAATCTGAAAAAACTTTTTTACAATTCTTTTTCTTGTATTAATGTGCTACGTGCTCGTAATTTTTATTTGAATGATGATCAATGTTGGTCTAGTTTGACAAGAAAAATCAATTTGTACCATAACGCTTTATTTTGAAGCAACGTTTTCAATTAGCACTCAGACTTTGAATACTTTTTAATTACGGAGTAATATTGCATATTATTTTTGAAAAGTAACGCTATATATAAACATTGTCATTGTATCTTTTTTCAAAACTAGACATTGAAAGTATAAAACTCTCTCCATCCCATAATTATCTTTCCTTCTTTTCTATTTGGGTTGTTCCAAAATTTTCTCTTCCCATATAAGGAAACCAATATGTAGGGCATATAAATTCTCTTTCTTCTACAAAAATTAACAACCAGTCATATTCCATTTTATTAAAAAACGTGCCAAGTCAAACCCAGAAGATAATTCCAGGACGGAGGGAGATGAAATAATAAAGGACAATATAATGAATTAATGGCAGCGTTAGAGTATCAAACGAGCTAGGAGCAGGGCGGCCGAGAACGGCGAAATTCTCGGTGGTGGTGGCCTCAATGACGTCACTAGCATTCGGCATCCTCATGGCCACCATTCTCATGCTACTAAGAAGCCAATACCCGCCGCTCTTCTCTGGAAGTCCCGCCGTGCAACGACTCGTCTACGACCTCACACCGCTCCTCGCTCTCAGCATTGCCATTAACAGCCTTCAGCCCACCCTCTCAGGGGTGGCCATCGGAGCTGGATGGCAAGCTTACGTCGCGTACGTGAACATTGCGTGCTACTATATTCTTGGCATTCCCATTGGCCTCGTTTTGGGTTTCGTATTCGACCTCAATGTCACGGTATGTTACGCACATGTATATGGTACGATACTCAGTCTGTTTGGAAAAATAGTTTAACTTTCATTTTTTGCGCATCTCACAAAATATTTTTTCCCCGCCTAAAATGTCTAAAATGCACCACATTTATTCTTTATTGCATGCAGAAGTCATTTAGGGGGGTATTTTTGATCTTTAGGTGGTGTAGGAGTGTTTGCACGATGTGCAAAAGATGAAAGTGAAATTGTTTTTTTCAAACGTATGGAGTATGGTATTGTTTGTTTTGAATCAACCCTAGCTACATTGATTTGTGCATATACTTCAGGGAATTTGGTACGGAATGGTAACGGGAACAATCGTTCAAACGTGTGTGTTGATATGGATGATAATAAGAACAAATTGGAACAAGGAGGTATGTGTACGTCTATATATATATATATATATATATTTGTGGATAAAAAATTATTCCATTTGTCCTAGTGACTTTTCATGTCAAATTGGACAAATTTTTATTCTCAAAAAAATTACATTATACAAATATTCTAAGACGAAAGTAGCTAGTAAATATATGTGCAGGGTAACAATGTACATATGTGTAGGCTTCAGCAGCGGGAGCTAGAATCAAACGTTGGGGAGGCGGAAGTGACTCAGATGAGACCAAATTAAATACTTAAAGTGATGATATGATAATCAAAAGCTTTGATTTTTTGCCCATTCTATGGCACCCATGGATTTTTCTTCGCTCCATCTCTTGTATGGAATGCCTTTGTTTTAGGGATTTTTCTTTGGATACCTTTTTATTTCAAGGGTCATAGATGTCATACCATTTAAAAAGTGACTTGAGGATTCTAATAATAATTGTTAGACAGCAATATTAAGTATTCTTATTTATGTTAGATATTGTATGTTAGTTATTTTTTATTCTCTTTTTCTAGTTGTGTTAGAAGTTTCTTCTATATATACTCTATTTTGTACTTCATATATAATTCAATGAACAATATTATTATTTCAATATTCCTACATGGTATCAAAGCCTTGATGACCAAGAGGTCACGAGTTCGAAACTCATTGCCACCCAAAAAATTTAAAAAAAAATAAGATTTCACGTGCAAGACTCAAAGAAGTCACGCTTTGCATGTGAGGGGCTGTATTAGAGTATAAAAACCTTTCATGTGGTTGAGTTATTTCATTAACAATAGTTATACCTCATAAGCCAAAGCATCTCTTTGTTTGCTTTCACTACTCTAATGTATTCTGCATCAGTTGTGAACAACATTACATATTTTTGTAGTGGATTGCCATGATATGGCTTGGAAATGTAAACACATCACTTGAGGTATATTTTCTATTGTCAAGATCATTTGTCATGTTTGAATTAGTAAAACCTTCAAGTATTTTCTACACACACAAATATATATATATATATATATATATATATATATATATATATATATATATATATATATATATATATATATATATATTGGTTCTGGTGAGAATGCGATCTTAGGAGAGAAATGAGAATGAATCTGATGCTTTAGATTGTGCGATCTAAGGGTCAGGATTGCATCAAAATTAGATGCAACAAAATGGTTTGAAAATGCATCACGTCGAAATGCATCATAATCCTTTGAAAATGCACTATCTCAAACTCTGAGCGCAGGATGCAATCTGAGCCGCACGATGCATCAGATCCAACGACTAGATTTCATTCTCATTTCTCTCCACAAGGGGCTGGTTCCCGTGAGAATGCACCTTGTGGAGAGAAATGAGAATAAAATCTAGCCGTCGGATCTTATGCATCGTGCGGCTCAGATTACATCCTGCACTCAGATTTTGAGATAATGCATTTTCGAATGTTTATGGTGCATTTCGACATGATGCATTTTCGCACCATTTTGGTGCATCTAATTTTGATGAAATCTCGACCCTTAGATGTCACAATCCAAAGCACCAGATTCATTCTCATTTCTCTCCTAAGATTGCATTCTCACCAGAACCAAAATCTATATATATATATATATATATATATATATATATATATATATATATATATATATATATATATATATATATATAAAATCATTTTGGAAGAGCCTTGCAAATATCAGACAATCCATTTCAGGGCTTGCTAATGAGTCTTACTTGAATGTGATAAGAAACTTCTCACTTAGCTCACTGCATGTAGGGTGAAATATCAAGACTAGCAGACGTCTTATCATATACAAAAGAAACAACAAATAAAGGTAAGGGATTAATTATTGTTGAATAATAGAATAATTATATTACTCAAGGAAATCTAAATGATACAATAGTGTACATATAGGGGAGATTTCGAACATACACAGGAATCATCATATAAGGAAACAAACTCTTAATCAACTACTATCATAAATATTAGGAATATTATTATTGGTTGTTATTATTCAACATCCCCCTCAAACTGAACACCGTGAAACGAGATGAAGCTTGGAAATGAGAGCTGTACGTGTACCAAGAAGATGGTAGTGCCTATTGGTGAGCAGATCAGCTAGCCGATCAGCATAATGAGCATAAGAGACAGTCATTGTTTCAGTCATAACTTGTTTCCAAACAAAATGACAGTCAATGTCGTATGCTTGTGAAACACATGATTCTTAGTCAGGTAAATAGTAGATTGATTATCACAAAACATATGCAGAGGTGATAGCAGCACCCATAGGATGCTAAAAAGATAAGAAAGCCACATTACTTTTGATGCAGCGGAGGAAAGGGAACGATACTTTGCCTCAGTGGATGATTTTGAGACTCGACTTTACTTCTCGATACTCCAGCAAGTAAGATTAGGACCCAAGTAAATTAGGTGTCCAAAAATGGAGTTACCTGTCATATCATTTGCCTAATCAGAGTTAGAATATGCCTGTAACGTTATAGGGCCTATGCGAAAGACCAACCCCTAGTTAGTGGGTGCATGCATGCATTGACAAACATGATTTACATAATATTGTATATCTAGTATAGTATTTGCGAGATACCAGAGAAAACCAACATGTCTATGGAAAAAAGTAGGATTCCCAAATGGTGTGTCATCCCCCTCGTCATTCAGCCGAACTGGGATAGGAGTTATCGATGACTTGCAATCGTTCACACCAGTCTAGTGGAGCAATTTTCAAGCATATTTTTGCTGATAAATAACTAAGTCATCTATGTAACACCCCGGCCCCCACCCTAGCTGTAAGTGTTCGCTCATAGGATTGTAGACTGGCCCTACAAACCAACACAAGTCTTTCCCACACACTTTGTCCTCACTCGTGCGCGCCCAAGGAAAACTTCCCAGGGGGATCACCCATCCTAGAATTGCTCTAGGTCAAGAACGCTTAACTTTGGAGTTTCCTGGTGATGAGCTCTCAAAAAGAAGATGCACCTTGTTGGTATGAGTAGTACTATCAATCCTTTTGAGCTATCTTCTCATTCCCATCTTAATACGGGGTATTACAATCTATCGTACGTTGGACCTCAAGCCTAAAGAAATAATGAAGAAGGCCAAGGTCCTTCATCTGATGTGGATCGTCTAGTGTCGAGGCACCCAGCCCAATTAGCATCGGAGTAGGCCTAAAGAGAATCTGTGCTTGGAGGGAGGTCATACCGTAGGTGGAGGTGCCACGGAGATAGCGTAGGACCTGCTTCATAGCTGCGACGTGGACATCTCGGGGGGCCGTGTAAATGGAGACAGAGCTGCTGAACAGAGTAGGAGATGTCTGGCCCGGTGAATGTGAGATACTGGAGGGCTCCAACGATGGAGCGATAGAGAGCTGGGTCGGCTACCAGGGAGCCGGATGTGCCAGACAGTTTAGCCTTCGTATCTACTGGAGTGGAGATGGGACGACAAGTAATCATGTCGGCACGCTCAAGGATGTCGTGAGTGAACTGTGTCTGATGTAGAAAGAGACCATGAGCTGTCCAATGAACATTGATGCCCAAGAAAAAATGAAAGTCGCCCATGTCAGTCATAGCAAATTCCCCCTTAAGGCGCTCAGTCAGGCGCTAAAGGAGAGAGTCGGAGGAAGCTGTGAGGAAGATGTCATCAACATAAAGGAGTAGGTAGGCAGTGTCCGTCCCATGAGAGTAGATAAAGAGAGAGGTGTCCGACTTACACCCTCGAAACCCGAGCGTGTAGATAAATCCAGCAAATCGTTGGTACCACGAGCGGGGAGCCTGTTTCAAGCCATAGAGAGCCTTCTTGAGCCTGCATACATAGTTGGGCCTGTGGGGATTCTGGAATCCTGATGGCTGAGAGGCATAGACAACTTCCTACAGATGGCCATGAAGAAAGGCATTTTTGACGTCCAACTGATGGATCGGCCATCCTCGAGAGAGAGCAAGGCTGAGAATGATGCGTATAGTAGCTGGCTTGATCACAGGGCTGAATGTCTCATCATAGTCGACTCCGAATCTCTGGTTGAAGCCCCGAACAACCCATCGAGCTTTGTACCTCAAGTTTGTGCCTAAAAAGCCATTTTCCGGTTATTATATTTTGGTGAGGGGAGGGGGGGTACTAATTCCCATGTGTCATTCTTAATCAATGCATTAAATTCCTCACACATAGCATTATGCCAATTGGGGTCTTTGAGAGCACTACGGTAGGTGAGAGGTAAGGGGGAGATGGGAACGGTGGTGTTAAGGTTGAGGATATGTTTGGGACAGGTTATGCCAGTTTTGGAACGCCTGATCATAGGGTGCTGATTTGTGGT